GCTTTCGACCAAGATCCATCTGACATTGGCAATTTTCTGTGGCTGGAGGCAGGTTCTCAAACCTACTACCTCTCAAGATTACCTGATAGAATAGAGTAATTTTCTTCCTGGCAGGTGGATGGCAGAATCAAGTGAAAGATGATTGTTTACTCTCAAGGGAAATTTCCAAATGGAGTCTAGAAGTTTATTTGAGCATTTGATTATTCAACTACATTTCATTAGTCACTGTGTACATTTTCTTCCTACTAAGTAATCAGCCTTTATCTTAAGTTCATTTATGTCTATTACTTTTATTTAATTCACTTGTTCAGGTAACTAGTGGAGTAGCACGTCTCATGCATAAAACCTTTCTCAAATATAATAATGATAATTACTATCATTTAGTTTGCTTTTCAAGGTGCAAATCTTGCCACTTATTAAACCTGTTTTACATTATTTTAATTACCTCTGCTATTTTTCTTGGACTCTTTTTAACTACATATTCTTAGAAGTGTAGTGACCAATACCAGATTCAATATTTTTGAACTCAGATATGCTGTAGTCTGATATATATTTAAATTCTAACAAAAACCTATGAAAATTATGTCTTTAATATATTTACTTTCAGTGCTTTAAAACATATGAAGGAAACCCCCACCCCAAAACCTATAAAGCATGTGTTTACATGTTCTTTCTCTATAAAAGTCATGTTTTGGTGCAAAACATAGATTACATTGATCATATACTAGAGTATAATTTATCTGTTAAAAGTTGACTGAAAAATTAACTCTTTAAGCTATGGGGCTATGATGGCAAATTAAAAATGGACTATGTCACTAGTATTTATCTTCCTTGGTAGGAAATAATAGGAAGAGATAGGTATCATGTCTACTGTCTGGAATTGGAGGACAAGGAGACAGAAGATAATTAACCCATTATGGTGTGTACACTTTTCTCATGTTCTTTTTTTTGGAGGTGGACAATGAAAGCAACATTTAATCTTGAGCAGGCACATATGGAGCCACGAGGACCCCTCCAAAGATCAGGCTCTCTGCCAGATCATAATGTTGTTGTTAGATGCTGTTGAGTCCAGTATGACTTACAGAAACCCTTTGAATAACAAATCTGAACCTTGTCCTGTCTCGTGCCATTCTCACAATTTCCGACACACTTGAGCCCATTGTTGCAGTCACTGCATCATTCCACCTGCACCCCTACCTTTCGAGGTATGATGTCTCCCTCCAAGGAATCAATTCTCCTAAAACCATGCCCGAAGTATATGAGATGAACCTTCATCATCTTTGCCTCCAAGGAGTACTCTGACTAGGCCTTCTCCAAGACATATTTGTTTGTTCTTTTGGCGGTCCACGGGATATTCAGCACTTTCCTCCAAAACCACAGTTCAAAGGCATCAATTATTCTTTTGTTATCCTTATTCATTGTTCAGCTCTCAGATGCATAGCAAGTGACTGAAAAGACCATGGCTTGAATCAAGTGCACCTTAGTCCTCAAAGTGACATTGTTGCCCCTCAATATTTTGGAGAGGCCCCTGGTGACAGACTTTCTCTGTGCAATATGTCTCCTAATTTCCTGATTCCAAGTGTATTAACTGTGGATCCAAGTAAAATGGGATTGGTGACAATCTCCATTTTTTCTCCATCTATCATGATGATCACTTTTGGTCTAGTGGTAAGGATTCTTTCTTCTTGGTGTTCAGTTGCAATTCATATTGAAGGCTGCATGTTTAATCTTCTGCCGTAAGTGCTTCAAGTCCTCACTTTCATCAAATAAGGTTGTGCCGTACACATAATGAAGGTTCTCAGTCACTTTTCAGTCACTTGCTATGCATTCTCCAGTTCTGATACCACATTCTTCTCCATGGAGTCCAGCTTCTTGAATAATTTGCTTAACATACAGATTAAATAGATACAGAGAAAGAACACAACTCTAACATACACTTTTCCTACTTTTAAATCTTGCAGTGTTTCCTTGCTCTGTTCGCACAATAGCCTCTTGGTTTAAGTATAGGTTTCAAGCACAATGAAGTGTTCTGAGATTCCCATTCTTCTCAATGTTAGCCATAATATTGTTTGTTATGTTCCACACAGTCAAATGCCTTTGCTTAATCAATAAAACACAGATATTCTTCTGGTATTCTTTGCTTTCAGCCAGGATCTGGCATTAACAATGACATTCCTTGTGCCACAGCCTCTTCTAAATCCAACCTGAATATCTGGCAGGTCTCTTTCTGTGCTATACTAGCTGTTTTTGAACGATTTCCAGCAGTATTTTGCTTGCTTGAGATATTAATGATATTCTTCATCATTTCCACATTCTTAAGTGATCATGGGATAGATGACATATGGATGGGCTTCTAACCAGGGGAGCTCTGGTGGCATAGTAGGTGGGGAATTTGCTATCAACACACTTCTCTGAGGGAGAAAGAGGGGAAATCTCCTGTGCAATTTACAGCCTCTTAAAATCTGCCAGAGGGTAAGTGATTAGTTGGTTCTGGGTTTCTAAAGTAGAGAACTTATATATATTTTCTAACTGCTGAACTCTTTTTCCAAAAGAAATCTTAAAACATTTATTCTAGAAATGACCAACTGGTAAGTAGTTAAGTCTATTTATTTCACAGTTTTACATCTTTACAGTTTTGCTTATATATTGTTTGAATATTGTTTTTAAGAGCAGAAATATTTCCTTTAAAAAAATTTTTTTGTTGTAATAGGACGTACAGACATATGCCATCTCTTTTCATTCCTTTCTCATTAAAAACATTTTATTGTTAAAAACCCAAGTGGCCAAATCAATAACAACTGAATTATGGGCAGTATTGCAATGAGGAAAAGGAATAAGAGTCTGTGGATATAGGTAGTTATTAATACTTTATGCTACCAAGCAAGGGTCACTATGAGTTATCTACGACTCGACGGCACTTAACAACAATAACGACAACATAGAGAGAACTACATTGGCCTAGTAGACAGAGAGTTATGCTACCAAGCCCAAGATGGGTGATTTTAATCTGCGGCCCTCAGGCCTGGTTTAAATTGTTTTTTGTCAAACATTCTTCTACGTGGTATAACACTGGTCTGTGCATTGCTGTCTAGAGGTAACTTGTGGTTGCTGTGAAACTGAACACGCTGACACTGATGTGCCAAATATGATAATGGTCACCCATGGTGGACAGTGTTTGGTGGAGCTCCCAGATTAAAACGAGCTTGGAAGCACGAGTGGCATCCACTTCTGAAATGGTTTGCCTCCAGAAACTCTATGAACAGGTCTTTAGTTCACAGGGTCGCTATGAGTCGTCTATGACTTAACAACAACAATATACTGGATTGACACCATTTCCTTGGCTTGTTGAAAACAATAATCTCCCAAAGACATGGTTTAACCAGAATGAGGTGTAAATGCATTTTATTGGGGGAAAAAAAAACAAGCTAAAGAAGTAAATATGTTACGATTCTTCATAAAATTATTAAAGTGAACCAGAACCCTTCACTTTCGTATACTTACAAAGCACCAGCTATGCATCTATTAGCTGCACTTGGTCAAGGAGTGGGGGATATGCACTCTTGTGCGTGTTAAGGTGGGTGTAGTTGCTTTTGAGAAGACAGCTTAGCTGCTGCCTGAAAATATGTTCTGTAACATGTCTAATTGTTACTTAGAACATTTAGAAATCCTCCTCATGCAGTGATGAGCCATTCAAATGTATCCAGCTAGAAGGTCAGGACCTGAGCAGAGCCAAGTTTATTGAGCTAAGCCATTTGTTGCTGGGAAATGCAGTTGTTTATTTAACAAGCACCACTGTGTTCATTAGAGGCCAGGAATCGATGCTCCTTTTAGAGAGGTGACTGTTGTGAAGCAGTAGTCAGCATCATAGGAACAGCACAGGATTCGAAATGTGTCAGTCCAGTCCCTATAAAACCTTGGTAGTACGTGAGAAAAGATAGCTGGAAAATGAACTTAGTTCTGCAAATCTTCCTGGCAACAGTCTACAGTAAGACTCTTGGAATAAGTAAAAAAAAAAATCTTCCATTTTTGGCTCTGATGTGAGGAAAGGATGATGTTATTGTTTAGTATTGGCGTGTGCATGATAAAACACATCTAGTGAAGGAATAAATCAGCAGGGTCTTCCCAGGTTGGAGAATCCATGTTCTCTTGGAAGCAAGGGACTTATAATCAAGATTACTGCTTCAATAAATTCTTTACTAACCTTTGATTTCTTAGTAATAGGAAACTGTTGGAATTTGGGGACAATTCTGCTGTAGTATTAAATTATATATTAAAAACTCATCTTGGTGTTGAGTAAGTATAGACACTTCCAGTGGATTGACAAAAGCTTACATTTCATTTTAATAAAAAACCTAAAAACTAGAATACATTGTCCTTTAAATAGACAACAGTGCATTTTTCAAGCATTTGCAGAATGTTAGTAATTACCATGTATTATTAGATAAGGGGGGGGAACAGAACGAATAACCCTGATAATTGAGGATTACCTAATACATATGATGGTCTCTTTGTTATTTTTTTTTTTTAAAAGGCAAATGCAGACTGGAGTGCCAGGGTGGTACCAAGGGTTGAGCACTTGATTACCACCCAAAAGGTTGGCATTGCAAATCCAGCCAGAGATGCCTTGCAAGAAAGGTTCAATGATCTGTTTCCAAAAGGTTACAGCCTCAAAAACTCTCTGGAGTGCAGCTCTCCACACACAAGGGCTCATTCTCAGAACCAACTCCACAGCAATTAACAACAAATGCAGACTTGAGAGCCACTAACCAAGTAGTCAGCCCCCAGTAGGCTTGTAATCTTGGGCCCTGTGGGATCTATGTCCATCATAAAGTTAAAAGAGGAATAGGTGATGTGTTTACATGAAAAACTCATAATTCTAGGACTTCTAGGGGTCCATTCTGTTCAGAATAATACTCAAGTTATTTTAGTCAATTTAACATTGTGTTAGCGCACAAACTTGGATTGGAATACTATTTACATCTTTACCTTATTCTGTTGAGGACCAGTGGCATGCCAAAAACTCAATATTAGAGTCTCAAAAATACATGTAGTATGCCCAATAAAATACATTTGCCAGCATAAAAATCAAAGGAAATAGTAGTTTGGAATATCGGTCAACATTGCTGGGGTTTTGGATTGTGAAATAATCAACAATCCTGCCCATTTTATCTCTGAAGACAAACTTGAACTTATCACTGGTTTTCATGGTCAGGTCACTGTAGTCGACTTTGTCACTGGAAATTTCAATACTGGCAAAGCTGATCTTCCGTTTAAAGCTGGAGATGGAGCTGTTGATGATGTTTGTAATATTGACTTCTTCTACTTCCTTAGATGGTCCCTAGTTTAGAGACAATACAATTAATGCTCAAGGCTTGACTCAGTAAAATTAATGAGTGGATAATGAGTTAATAAAAAGTTTAGAGACCTAAGTATTGAATATTTATTTATATAGGTTTAGTAGAGAGTAGCACTTAGCGTCTTGGGAACTGGCTATTAAGTCAGGCTTAACCTATTATGTTTGTAGATCTCTAGCTCTAGGGGATGGAATTCTCTGGAATTCAATGTTAAAATTCTTGCCTTCCAAGCAGAAGACCAAGGCCCAATTCCCAGTCAATGAATCCAACATATAGCCATTGCCTTTCTGTCAGTGGAGTCCTGCATGTTGCTATCATGATAACTAGCTTTTAGCAGGTAACAAGTCAGCATAGAGCTTCTGCACTACTACAGACAGACTAAGGAGAAAAACATAGTGATATACTTCAAAACAACAATAACAAAGCCATTGCTATCAAGTTGATTCCAACTCAGAGTGACCTTAAGGGTAGAGGAGAACTGCCCTAGCTAGAGAATGTCCAAAGCTATAAATCTTTATGGAAGCAGACTGCCATATCTTTCTCCCTGGAGCCAGTGCTAGATTCTATCTGCTGACTTCCCAGTTAGCAGTCAAGCACTTCATCACTGATATACCTAGGCTCCTTCCAGAAGCAAGCTATTACAAAGCCACGCATCACAACTATCTCTAAATAATGTGAAAGGCATGAGAATGGTCAATGTTTTGTTCCACTGTGCCTGGGGTCACCATGAGTTATTAGGGTGCTGGCGCACAGCAGCCTAATGGTTAGGGAGTTGCACTGCCAAACCAAAGGCAATTCTAATCTACTAGTTGCCCCGTGGGAGAAATATGGGAAATCTCCTCCTATGTGATTTACAGCCTCTGAAAATCCACTGGCGGATCAGTTACAAATTGGTTCCAACTCAACAGCAATGGGCTAGATCATCAACATATAAGTTTGAAAGAATAACCATTGACCATTCAAAATACATACTGCAATATAGGTAAATGCTGAGACTTTGAAGTTACCCAAACTAGACCCCAATCCTGCCCAATTCTGCCATTCACTATTGTAAGAGTTTGGACACATTAATTCTTTCAAGAGTCAATTTACAAAAAAAAAAAAAAAAAAGTCAATTTACTTGCTTTGAAGATGCTGACGATATTAAGAAAAACTTCAGGAGGCTGATGGGAAGATTAAGTGTTATAAATTATGTAAAGTGTTTAGTAGGTGTTTGATTAATTCCATTCTGTTCCAGGGAGGATGATAAGGTAATTGATAATGAGAGATAACAGAAGTTAGGAGTTAGATCTCTGCCACATAAAAGGAAGCAGTGATACTCCCTGTAATTTTAAGGAGTTGTCATCTTCTAACATGATGCTCCAACACAGTATGCGGAATGCATCCACTTCTGAAATAGCTTGCCTCCGGAAACTCTAAGAACGTGGAGAAACGATGAACATTATACAAGTGTTCGGGTCTTTCATTCATAGGGTCATCATGAGTCATCTATGACGCTACAGCACTTAACAACAATAACAACATCGTAGAGAGAGCTCTTTTGGCTTAGTGGACAGAAAGTGATGCTATCAAGCCAAAGGTGAGTGATTTTAATTTGCGTCCCTCAGGCCTGGTTTTAATTGGTTTTTTTTGTCAAACATTCTTCTAAGTGGTATAGCACTGGTATAGCATTGTCCATTTACTGTAAAAGGTAACTCATAGTTACTGTGATGCTAAATACTGTGACACTGATGCGTCAAATGCGATAATGTTTACTCATGATGGACAATGTTTGGTGGAGTTCACGATTATAAAAGCTTGGAAGTAGGAGTGGCATCCACTTTCAAAATAGCTTGCCTTTGGAAACTCTATAAATGTGGAAAAATGATGAAAGTTATACAAGTGTTTAGGTCTTTCATTCATAGGGTCACTATGAGTTGTCTATGACTTGATGGCACTTAACAACAACAACAACAACAACAACAACAACATACTGAAGTCAGACAGTGCTTGGGCTTTGTCCTTGCCTGGGCTGCTGACTACGTGTGGGGTCTCGAATGAGTTCTCTCCATTTCTGAGTGGCAGATTCCTCAACAGTGTAAGTGGGATCATAAGGTTACCTATCTGATAGAGTTGTCAATGGATGAAAGGAGATATTAATAAGATGTTTAGGATATAGTAATTGTTCCATAATGCAGCTATTATCTCACATACATAACTCTATGTTTCTTGAGGGGAAGATCTTAGTAATTCTCCAATTCTCTTTTGGCCAATCTAGCAAATGAATTGTATAAATAAATGCACAATTAATCATTCCTCTCCCACACCGAGCCCCAAGGAAGCCCATAAGAAGTAAGAGAAATGTAATCCATATTCTTCTTTGGCTTGTATGAGACAGTCATTTATGTTTGACTGGACTGTGTCAAAAGTTGTTCACAATAATCAAGTGCAGAAAAAGTCCACTGGGTCTTTGGAATACACTGAGTCCTGATTTCCTCACTTCCAGACTCTCCAGAGTGCTAGAACTTTGCTAGTGGTGGGTAATTCTTCTGCCTTAGATCTCTACCATTTTCTTGGCTTGTTGGCATATGTTTTAGTGAGCTAATGTCTCTCAAACTGGGTTTTCAAAGAGTCCTAGGGATCTACAATCCTGTAGAGAGTAACACTGAAGAGCCTGGCCGATTACTTATTGCCTACTGCGAGTGGAATAACAGGCTTTGGAATCAACCAAACTTACGTTCAAATCTTAGTTCTATCTCTGTGGCAAGTCACTTATACTTACTCTTCAGATTCTAAAACTAGAAAATGAAAATAGTTTTACTGGGCTTTTACAACAATTTGAAATGATATGATAGTTGTAAAGGGCTAGTTGTGGTGTTTTGAAGGACACTATAAGCAAGAGCTCAAGAAATAATGACCACTATGATTATTCTGATTGCTGGATTGTTCTCCTGTTAAATAACAATAGTCTTCAATTAGCAGAAGAATACACTAATCAAGTAATTTGTCACAATCTATTTTTTCACACTTTTTTCAGTAAACCATTACCTGTAAAATTAAAAAAATATAAGAATATGATCAAAGGATTAAATAGTAAATACTAATTGGAAACTTGAAACAGCTGATCATGTTTGCTTTGCTATTAAGCTTTTCTTGTGTGCTAGTTTTTATGTTTGTGATTTGATTGCGTTTACAGATTACAAAAGAAGCCTCTGCTTGAAAATTAAATATATCACCACCTCATGGTTTTTGATGAAAAGAGAGGGCTCTTTCAAGGGACATCATGATTTCCAAATGTCCCCTCCAACACAGACAATGTAGAGAATCACCCTAGCAAAGTACATCACTGAAGGGAAGGCCCAGGCCCAGTTCTTCTCTGTAGACCAGTGCATGGCACAAGTGACAAATTCTGTCCAAGGCCCTCAAAATTCTTACCTTGTCTTTGGCTGCCATCTTCTGCAAAGAGCTGTAGTGGGCAACTGCATATTCCAGAAGGGCCCCAAACACAAAGCTGAAGCAGATGCCCAGGTACACGTCGATGGCCTTGATGAAGCAGTTGGTGTTGGGAAGAGAAGTTCGAGATCCAATCATCAGTGTGGTCATAGACAACACAGTGGTCACCCCTGGGAAAACAAGCAGATGTTTGCGTATTAGGGATCAGTTAAGCCTCCACTCCAGGGTTAGGAGGACAGGACTCAGAAATATTGAAATATTTGTGACCTTCTGGAACAAATATGGATGATACAATTTTCTAGATTTTTGTCTCCTGTCTTTTTGAAAAGAAGTGTATTCAGTATATAAATAACTGCAAACAGACCATCTAATAAAATTTCTCCTGTCTGTGTTGATATAAAATATACACTTAACAATGTACTACCCCTAATATAGTCTCTCATTTTCTTGCCGTCACAATCTCTTGTCTCTGTCTCTTTGATTTTATTTCTTTATCTCTCTTCCTTGCTCTTTCCCCAATCTCTCTTAAGAAACTGTCTTAAGGAAATATTCTGTGAATACCAATAAGAACAATGAACAGACCTAGAAAGGGCAGAGGTGGGTGGGTGGAAGACTTAATAACCCTGTTCCTAACCACTTCCTATTGGAATGGCTTACCAATGCAGGTTCTTGCAGGGACTGAATCGAGGGAAATCCAAAACGAGACCCAGGATAATACAACCAGGAAAGTAGAAGGAACATAGGTTTCCAAAATGAAATATAGGACATTCCTCCGAAGTTCAAATTGCAAGACCAATCTTGTGTAATTTCCTGAGAAAATAAACAAGATATGGGAACTCATGTCTGTTCACATGGCAATGTAGTTACCTATGTGCTGTTTAACTCAGCTTAATCCACTTTACACTTGCTGCAAAACCTAGTTAATGAGATATTCCAGTTAAATTAGAACTGTTATTACGGTTTTAAGAAAAGGAACTACTATTGTCTGGAATGGATTCTTAAGAGTTTTGATGCTCACTTGCTCCAGATCCTTTTCTCTCTTTATTTATCATAAAATGCCTATGGCATTTTAACTGCTGCTTCCCCAGAGGTCTACCTTTCTAGAGGGCAAGTCCCTTAGTGGCAAGGCCCAAATCCTTTGTTTCTATAGGCATACAGCAGTTGTCCAATAAATGCCAGATGAATGGACACTAAGTTTAGCTATCAGTTTTACAAGACCACAACAAAATTGACCTGACGTCAAAATACCAGTGCATATAATTGAATTTTTTTGTTATTTCAAAGTACACCTCGGAGTTTATATGGTATAGCCTATAAACACCTCCAAATGACTACACTTATACAAGCCCAGCTGAGTTTTATTAGGGCTCTGTCTCCTTGAAGACCTGTTTTCCCCAGTAGACTTGTTTTTCTAGTCTCTTCCCAGAATGAGGGCAAACTGGCTGTTTCCCCTATTGTTCTTAGTTAGGCTTGCAGAACTGGATATACCTCAAGCAGGTGATGATTTTCCCCTTAAACTAAGCTGAGCATTTCCCATTAGCCCCAGTAATTATTAACTTTGTTATGTATTGAGGGTTGTTTGTGTAAGAGTATTAAGTAATTAGTTGCTTTCCCCATCTTCAGCTAGTCAATAAGCTTACTGTCTCAATAAAGTGATGCCTTTTAGTTTGTCTCCTGGTCAATGTTTCCACCTGTCTGTGAAAACTAAACTTGAGGAACTTCACCTCTGGGGAACAAGCCCCAACAGAGTTCAGGAACATTTGAGGAACATTTTTAGGAAATTATCATTATACATGGAAAGAGGTTCCATAGAAACACAGTAATTTTTTTTCAGGGTGCAAATAGTTATGACAACAAGCATTCTTAATATCATTGTGAAGAATTGAGATGAAAATGCCACTGCTTTTGTATGTTGTCGTTGTTCATTGCCATCGAGTTGAGGACGACTCATAGTGACCTTTGAGCAAAAGGCCTGATGCCTTTCTATAACTATCATCGTTACTCCAGGTTCGTAGAGTTTCCAGAGGCATGTGGATTAGCAAGTGGATGCCACTCCTACCTTAAGCTGGGAGCTCCAGCAAACACTGTCTACCATGGGTATCCGTTTTGGATAGCATGTCTTATTTTTTGGAGAAAAGCTATTAAAGAGAAAACCTGTTGACTAGAAAAAAACAGTTGGCAATGACACCTCAGACAAGGGTCTTATAACAAAAGTTTACAGAATACTGCAGGACCTCAACAAGGAAAAGACTGATGACAATCACAAAATGGGTAAAAGAAACAGAAAGATTTTTCACAAAGAAGAAATTTGGATGACTAACAAATACTTGAAGAAATGCTCAAAATCACTGGCAGTAAGGGAGCTGAAAATCAAATCAACAATGAGATACCATCTCACTCCAATAGCAGAGGCAATATTTAACAGGAAAGCAAACAATAAATAGAGAAAATGTGGAGAGATTGGAGCTCTTATACATTGCTGGTGGGTTTGTAAAATGATACAACCACTTTGGAAGGCAGTTTGATGTTTCCTCAAAAACCTGAACAGAGAAAAAAAAGGCTGAACTTAGAAAACCCATATGACCCAGCTTTTACTGCTTGGGATATACCCTGAAAAAATTAGAACTGAAACACAAATGGAGATTTGTACACCAATTGTCATAGCAGCATTATTCACAATAACAAGGATATAGAAACAGCTCAAATAACTATTAAATGAATGGATTGAGAAATTGTGGTACATCCACACAATGGAATATTATGCAGCATTCAGGAACAGCAATTTAGAAAGATACTACATAACTTGGATGAAACTGGAGAGCATTATACTGAGCTCAGTCTAATTCAGTCTCATAGGGGCAAATATTGCACAAGACCATTATTGTAAAAATAGAAACATAAATAGTAAGATATGTATAAAAGTCCAAAGAGGGAAGCAGATGCGAGCTGAGGGTGAGGAGGAAGGAAATCATGGGGACACAGAGTTTGGTGGGTGGAGGGAGGAGATGAAGGAATTAAGGCAGATCCAGTGGAAACCTGAAAATATGGGGTAACGGTGGGCATAGATCAACAATGATTAATTTTATAAAACACAAGGTATGAAAACGATCGTATGAAGCACAATGTGAACGAAGGAATGTGTGAAAAAATGTACATGAGTGATAGAATGCATACGAATTTTGTATGCAAACCAATATAAAATTTTAAAACATTTTTTTAAAAAAGAGCATCATAAAAGAAAAATTCCTATTTCGTGACATCCTACTCTTTCAATAAAATACAAGTAAGTCTTCTCACGACTTAGAATAAATATGTTGTTTTTAACTCTTGAATATAACTTATATCTTTATCTGTGAATTCTACTTTCTTTTTCTTTCTTCAGCAACAGAGAATGAGTTCTTTCGTTATAAACACTGATAGATTTTTTGCATGAGGGATTTGCGGAATTTGAGTAATCATTACAACATATTTGGTAAATGGTATGAGGCTGCAGAGTTTGCTCACATCTGCTCAGTGAACCATTTCAACCTTGGGTGCAGAATCCAAACCCTATTCCCTGAACTGACAAGGGGTGAAGTGGAGAAGGGCTGGCATTTATGACTCAGAGAGCAACTCGGCACCTCAGTTTTGTTATTTTCATGTTGCGCAGTTCCTCACCTGTCTCCTGCTGTGACTGGGTGACTAAGGTGAAATAACGCTGAATGGTGTACTGAGCCAGCCGTAGGTTTTCCAGCCCACGCACAGAGTCATTCCCTCTCAGCCACACAAACTCCACATCATTCCCATCGTAGCCCCCTGCAAAGAAAAGAGTATCACAGCGATAAATCATCACAGATTGAACTAGCCCAGGAAAGGCTACAGCTGGGGACAGCATGAGCTGTACCTTAATGGGGGTATGTGCAAACCTGGCATGCTTCTCAAGTATAACAGCAGTATCTATTTAGAATGCAGGGTCCCTGGCTAGTGTGAATGGTTAAGTCGTTGGCTGCTGAAAGATTTGTTGTTTAAATCCCCTCAAATATACTTTGGGAGAAAGACATGCTGAGCTACTTCTGAAAAAGGTTAGCCATTGAAAACTCAATGAAGCACAGTTCTACTCTGACATATATTGGGAGGGCATGCATCTGAGCCAATCCCACATCAATGAATTTATTTAGAATGAATCGAACTGCTAGGATTATACCCACTTTCTACTTATTAACATGGGACTAGGTGATTGCAGAAAAATTCACTTTTGAAATAAAATTTGTTTTCACATCTTATGAAATGGAGATAGAACTTACAATTGATTTACATGTTTAAAGTAAAGCTTATATTCCCCTTTAAGAAGTTATTAAATCAAATCCAGAATTGAGTAAATATGTGATCATTTAACACATAAAACATTTAGATTCAGAAAGGTTAAGGAGCTTGCTCAAGATAGCAAAGAAACAAATGTAATTGAGGGTGGTACCTCAGTTTCAATGGCCCAAGATAATGGAGCTGTTGATGACAATAGCTATCATTAGTGAACAATTACAGTTCTACGTGCTTTCTAATAGTATATTATCTCCTTTAACCCTCCTAATATCTCAAGGGGGAAACGGACAAATGGTTAATAAGTACATGAATGCATACTCAATATCATTAATTATTAGCAAATTCACATCACACTCACAGTTAAAGCAACTGTCCTAAAAAGACAGGCTTTGCCAAATGGTGAACATATGGAGAAACCAGAGCTGGCTTGTAGGAATATAAAATGGTACTACCACCGTGGAAAACAGTTTATAGTTTCTTACAAACTTAAACATAAATTTACCATGTGATCCAGCTTTCCATTCTCAGATACCTGCCCAGGGAAAAGAAGTTTGTATTCTACACAAGGATTAGCACACAAATGTTCATTGCAATATTTGGCTATTATACATAATAGTCAAGAAATAATCCAAATGCGTTAATGAATGAATAAGTAAAATGTGGCATATAGACAAATACCTATAAAAAGGAGTAGCAGTGATGTCATTATGTGCCATCAAGTAGGAACTGACTCATAGCTGACCCTCCAGTAGATTTTCAGAGGCAGTAAATTGTATGGGAGATTCCCAACTTTCTCCCCTGGAGTGGTTGTTGAATTTGAACTGTGTACTTTTGACTTGGCAGCCCTTTCCACTAGGACACCAGAGCTCCCTGAAAGGATACTCTACAGTATTAAAAGGATGAGATAATGACATATGCTATAGAATAGATAGTCCTCAGAAGCATGCTATGAAAGAAATGAAACCTATGCGTCTATGTTATGAAATGTCCTAATAGGCAAATTTACTGAGACCAAAATAGATTAATGGTTACCTAAGACTGGGGTTGTCAACGGAGAGTGATTGCCGTGGGCACGTTTTACATTTTATTATGTACAGTTTTGGAGGGGGTGATGGAAATGTTCTATTAACTGGCTTGTTATTATGGTGGCATAGCTCAGCAAATTCACTGAAATCACACACTCAAAACAGGTGAATTTATGGTCTGAAAATGAAACCTTAGTATAAGGTTGTTGTTGTTTTTTAAAGTCACTCTTTCAGTCAGGCGCTTTTTCTACTTTACCCATGAGGAAATTGAGGTCTAGGGAGACTATTCTTCTAAAGTCACACAGTTAATTATGAGAAAACCCAAGGTTTCTAGTATCTAGGATCTTAAACATAGAACTATACACTGCTTCATTTCCAAAGGCAATGGGAAATGTAGTGCCACTGTTAACACAAACCTTCTGTTGAGTCTTGGCTTACGCAAACCACTATCTAGCAGGGGTACTCTAAGAAGGTACTCTCCTTCCACTGAGAAGAAAAGGAAATTTAATGAGTCCTTGGGTAAAATGTACAGGGGCTTCCCTTGGAAATGCCAAGTACATTCTCAACATGGCTGTGCAAGTAGGTCTAGCATTCCAAAGAATGAACATTATAAAAATGAGTCGAATCCTTGAGTGTTGCAAATATTTAACGTGCTCGACTGTGCACTGACAGGTTACAGGCTTGAGTGCACTCGGAGGTGTCTTGGAAGAAACACTGTGGTGGTCCACATAAGCCCCTGGAACACATGGAATCTGGTCCTCAGGCAGTCCTGTCTTGAGTCACGAATTTATGTGTGGTGACCCCAAGTTAGCGTCCACAGCAACTGCTTTCATAAAAATGAGCCATAAAGACCCTACGTTGGCACTGGGCTTTTGCAATGAGTAAATGCTCACAAACACCATATTATCACTGTTCCTTCCCTGGGTTGATGAGAGCAAGTGTGGGATAGTATCAAATCTATTACAGCGATAAGCTTAAAAGAGATAACACCAAAACCCTCAGTGAAGTTTCTGTATCCAAATAACTGCTAGTAAACATTCAGCAAAAGCCTCTTGTGCTCACTGGGGACAAGATTAGTGTAAGCAGTGTGCCGAGGTTTCCAGGAGAATCTCTCTCCTGGGATTTGAAATGAGCACAGCCATGACACATGCAGGGCAATTACTTTTTCCTTGTGGTACTGAATATGAGTTCTCTTTTTGATAACCTCAAGTTTTATTCTGCCGCCAAACAGCTGTATTGCTGCAAGAAGGTTTCACATGCATTTAATCAATAAGGTAATTAATCTGTCTGTCTGAGTCTTTAATTAAACATCTACCTCTGAAAAATGACTGCTGCTTCATAATGGTTGTGCTTCTCAGAGGTTGGCGTGCTTGCATCTTTATTATGTAAGGGCGACTCCACTGGCCTGCAGCCCTTGACCAGCTTTGTCTCCTTACACAAGCCTTCCCTAATACCTTAATAAATCTTGTCGGTAGCACTGTTTCCCCATGATACCTGCCACAGGTGCTGCCTCCCCAACTACAGAATGACTTACTTAGGAACAATGAAGGTTACTCAACAATGCCAGGAAATTCATCTGACACACATGAGGGGAGAGGAACTCCTCATTCCTCATCATGAGCAAATCCCCCGGTAACAGGACAGATGCCCATTTGCTGGCCTTACTGTATTAAGCTTCATATTTATTAGATAGTATCTTTTAAAAGTTGGAAGCAGCTGGGTGATAAATGTCAATGATTGCTTTGAGTATCTGCAATTTCTCAATTCTGCTGTCTTCTGGCTTGCTTCTATGCCATAGCAGATTCTGAGTCCCGCCTTTGCTCCTCTTGGCCAATTCAAGAGAAAACTCCCCTATGCCTCATTTCAAGAGAAAACTCCCTAAGACAGCCTCTGGTTCCCCCAGCTCCTGCAGAAGCATTATCTTTTTTTTTCTTTCCATGGCAAACATCCTTTAAATAATTAGACCATGGAATTCACAAAGCATTGTTTTTGTTGTTATATGCCATTGAATTGCTTGCGACTCATGGCAACCCTATGTATAATAGCTCTGAGCCTTGCCCTATCCTAAGCCAGTCTCACTGTCTCTGACACACCTACCCCATTACCCCAGTTATGATGTCAATTCATCTCATCTGGAGACTTCCTCCCCTGTGCAGCATTACCCTTTTTTTGGTGGTAGAACTTTTAATTTCTACTTTTTAAAGAACAGTGTTAAAATCTAACAATCATCATATCCGATTTTTACTTTTTTTTTCTTTCTTCTTTCTTTTCTGGCCAAGTGTTAAGCCATTTTGACATTTCACAATTTAGTTCTTCATTTACAAAATGAGAGAAATTCAATTAACTTTGACAATAGGATTGCTATCTGTTTGAAATGCATCTTAATACATTTTTTAAAGTTCTGGATAAAACTTAAAGACTTAAATGATGCCTACATTGTAGGGAAAGTTGAAAAGGATTTAAAATTTTTTTTTTGAGTGATATACATTTTGTACTTAAAAACAGAATTGTATCCACCAGCTTCTCCATGGGAAGAGGATGAACAATCTGCTCTTACGCAATCAGCTACCTCTGAAAACTCACTGCAGGGTCAGCTATGGGTTGATTCCAACTCGACTGCACACTACCTTTTATTGTTATACTTTATTTTAGAGTTATTGAAAGTTTAGTGTCCTCTGGTTTGGTAGGCTGAGGACTGGAACACTGTTTTCTGTCTTTGTATTTCAAACATCTACTACTGTGTCTGACACAAAATAGTCACTTATGTAGTGCATGGATAAATGGAGGCATTCAGATGAGGGCAGCCAGGGAAAATTGATCCAGTCATGCAGACTAGCTGGAGGCAATCATGGGTGTAAACAGCTGACATGCTTGACTGTTAGCTAGAGGTTAGACATATGAGCTCCCTCAAAGGCACCTTGGACAAAAGGTCTGGCAATCTACTTCCAGAAATTCAACTAAAGGCAATAATTTCTTCAAGGCAAGTCCTTTCACTTGTGGGTCATGTAGTGTGTGGCAACTAACTCAGCTCTGTGATGGAACATGAAAGCAGTCATAGAAGTTGGGTAACTGCATGGATGTGGGTGTGTTTCAGTCTAACTTCACTTATATAAACAGGTGGCGTGCTGGAGTTGGCTCAAGCCACTGGAGTTGGAGTCTGCCAACTGCTGGCCTAGATTGCATTAGCATTTCCTTTGGCTGTTAGGGATAACACTCTTAGGTGGAAATATTTGGTAACAGTTGACAATGGCCTTCCTCAAAGATAGTGTTAGGTTTTTTTGGTACAATCTCTACATCTCCCTGCAAGTACAGATAGTAAAGCTGAATGCAACATGAATAAACTTTGAGAAAAGAAAGGATACTATACACAGGATATTCTTCATCAGCATATAGACAGATCTAAGCGATAAAATCATTCCAGGGGCCTCTAAGGCATATACTCACAACTTTCCAGCTGCAGCTTGCATGTCTGTGTGTCCATGGGGTATTTAGACAGATCCATGTTACATCCAACAGTTGTTGTGATTCTAAGGAGAGAGAGAGAAAAAAACCCCACCTATTAAAAAATGCATCATGAGGAGGATGCTATGGAAAGTACTGGACTGATAAATAACTTAATGGTAAATGGAGAAACAATTGAAACTGAAAAATTTCACAGAAGCAGTAAAGAAATGAAATAACATATTTTACTAGGCAAATCTTCTGCAAAGACCTTTGTAAGGTGTTAAAAAGCAAAGATACCACTTTGGTGACTAAGAAGCACATCATCCAGCCATGGTCTTTTCAAGTACCTCGTATGCATGTGAAAACTGGACAACGGAAAAGGAAGTCAGAAGGAATAGTATATGCAAGCTGCAGTGCTTTAAAGAATATTGAGTATATCCTGAACGACAGGAAGAACAAGTCAGTCTCAGAAGAAATACAACCAGAATGTTCCATGGAAACAACAGTTAAGAGACCAGCTTGCTTAGCATTTACACATTACCAGAAAAGATCCATTGCTAGAGAAGGACCTCTTGCTTAGTAAGTAAAAAACATGAGAATGAATGACTTTATCCACAGTCTCAAAAGTGAGCTGAAACATATCAAGGATCATGGTGATAGTAAAAGAATGGGTAAAAGTTCATTCTGTATATGCAACCACTCCCTTAGTCAGAGCTTGCTTGGTGGTGAGAAACTGTGCTGCCAACACAAAGGTCTGCGGTTCAAATCCACCAGCTGCTCTGTGGGATAAAGATGGACATCTCTTCACATGTGATTTACTGTCTCTGAAAACCTGCTGGAGGGTCAGCTATGTGTTGGTTCTGACTCAATGGTATACAACAACAATAACGAAAGGATATGTTCTCTTTCACCAGTCACTCTGTGAAGACTTTGATTTTGACTCTTACTGTACACATGTGGCTTGGAGTAGGCATTCAAACTATTCCTGTTCTGTGATAAACAACTTCTCAGAAACTCAAACTGGGGTCAGGGTGGGGGAAACTAGAATGTTTACTCTCAGAAGTCAAACTTCTGATATCATCATGAGAAGAGAGGCTTCTACATCTACTCTTTAATGTGTAATTGGTTTGCATACAATAATTTGTTTTACATTGTGTTTTATTTATTTACATTGTGGCTTGTTTTTTAAATAACCTTCATAATGAACCCACAAGGATCTAGAAGAGCTGTCCTTGTCACTATTGTCACCACTTGACACCACATTTAGGGACCTGATAGGTGCACTCAACTTTCGGTGGCAGAATTGGATTAGAGTAAAAATCTTGGGCTTTGCTGTTCCCACAAATTTCTGCCTCCTTGAGAAGGGGCCTGGTGGCACAGGGTACTGTGGTTTTGGGAAGCAAGCCCAAAGACATTCAATTACTTACACATCAGTTATGCCTCATAGCAGATATATCAATTAACAGAACTTTCTCATTTTCTAAGGTTTCCTACATTTTATCTAACACTTTCCATTTATTCAGTACAGTACTGGATGATACAAATAGTTAGCATGCTTAGCTGCTGAAAGGTTGGAGCCTCCAGTCCACGTAGGGGTACTTTGATGTCTTACTTTTGAAAAAAGCAACCACTGAAAATCCTGTGGAGCACAGCTCTGCTTTGAAGCATGTGGGATCGCCATGATGCCATGGCAACTGACCCTTATTAACTACTAGCTCTGGTGGCCTAGTGGTAAGAAGTTGCTCTGCAATCCCAAAGGCGTGCAGCTCGAATCTACCAATTAGTGATCTCCTCCTATGAGATTTCAACTATGAGTCAGTTGCGACTTGACAGCACACAACAACAACAACATGCTAGATTCAAGAGAGCTCTGGTTGCCTCATGGGTAAGAAGGCACGCTGCCAAACCAAAGGTGCATGGTCTGAAACCACCAGCTGCCTCATCGGAGAACGATGGGCTCTCCTGTGATATACAGCCTCTGAAAACCTAAAGGTCTCAGCTATGGGTTGGTTGCAACCCAAAAGCCAATGAGCTGAGTTGAGTTGCCGCCATCTACTGGCGCCCTAGTGGCACTGTAGGCTAAGTGGCCAACCAAAAGCCAGTGATCTCTATAGGCTTTCTGCTCCTATAGAGATTTATGGTCTTGGAAGAACGATGGTATAGCTCTCCTCTGCCACATGGGTATCTATGAAGCAGAACCAACACATTATTTTTTTTTATTTTGATGGTGGGTGCTGGGGGTGGTCTTGGGGAGGTGATTACCGCATGGGGCCTGCCTTGATAAAGCTAATTCTCCTTTAAAGGAGATAGGCTAGCAGCCACTGCTGTTTGTTGATTGCTTACCAAGCCCCTGCCCATCTTCCCTGCCAATTTTTTCAACAGTTTTATCTGGTAGAAAATACTTTCACTCTCATTTCACTGCTGAGGAATCGGAGGCTCAGAGAATCAAGTAACTTGCCACGGTCCACAGAACTGCTAAGGGACAGAACAAGAACTTGCCAGGTTATTAGCCATCACCTCGTCTTTAACCTTACAGGAGACATGATGTGTTGTGTAAGCGATACCAACACATCTACACACGTGTAAGTGCTGTGGTCACATGGGAAAGAGGGACGCTGGTGCTGACTGGAGAACGAAGGGGGAGGACTAGTTAGGTCTCTTGAAAGAGAAGTTGGGATTTTAGTGGGTCTTGGCATGAATCAATACAGCTGAGAAGTGTTCAACAACCAATGCAGAAATCCAGTTTATTCTTTAGCTTAAACTCAGCGCTGCCAAGTTGTTTCTGATCTATGACAACCTTCTATCTGGTTTCCAAGGCTGTGAATCTTTATAGGAAGGGACTTCCCATTTTCTCCTGAGAAAGAGGTTCATACTACTGAATTTTTGGTTATCAGCCAATATGTTATACCATCCTTATTTTAAAGATAAGCCCTGTGATCTCCGGTTCCTGGTGTTTTTCAGGTCTTTGGGAGCACTGAATTTGCACCATCCTTAGCAGCAGGGATGATTCTTTGCCTATAGGTTGCCCCATGTGGCACCTAGAACTTTGTTCCCATTTTCGCTTACACTATGCTTGCCAATCAAATGAATGCAAGGACATTTTGGCTTTAGGAAGTTGGGACAGGACAAAGGCAATTTAAGGCTGTAGGAGACAAAGTGACACAGATACTTAGTACATAGTAGAGTGTGGAGCACCTCCAGGGCCACTGAGTCCCAGAACGGAAGGGTCTTTGCACGTCACTCTGCATTTGCTCTTGTTCTTTTCTTACTTCTTTCTGTGCAAACTTTTTATCTATGAAGACTTAGTTGAAAGCCCTTTGAAAGCATCTTCTAACATTCTCTCAAACAATGAACCTGTTCCCAGCTTAGTCCAGCAACAGCCTGGAGTTCCTTTGTCTCTATATCCACATTACTGTAGGCAGGACAACATCCTATTGGGCTCTGTAATCCTCAGGGATCAGTTCAAGGATGGATGCAGAGGTGTTGAGAGATGCTTGTTGAACTAAACTGAGCTGAGAGGGCCCTTCTGTTATGGGGGCTATGGAATTAAGGAGGCAAGGAAAGGCATGAGTAGTATCAGACCTCCGAATGGTTATCAGAGTGCTGGTCAGAACCAACCCACGACGGCCCTCCGTCCAGTCCAAAGGTCTCTGATGCCCGGTTACCTGAGAGCATACAGGACTGTGCCATTGGAGAAGAGGCGAATGAGCCTGTTTCCCACGGTGACTTCATGGAGGAAGGATGTTTTGGATTCTACGATGTAAGTGTCAGGGACCCAGAGAAACTCTACAAGACGTGCATCCAGGGTGAAGCTCTTGTTGCCTTCAAAGAGCAGCCGCGGGTCTGTCCAGCGCTGTCGGAGGTATATGGTGGCTGTGTAGTCCTGAGGGAGGAGCCATGGGGGAGAAATCAGTGAGAGGAGAACTCAGAAAATTCAAGGGAAGGGAGTGAGTCTTCCTTCCCACTCTCAGGTAGATAGAGGGCACATATTACAGCAGGCACTGGTGAATAAAGTTATATTTTGAGGTGTGTTTTATGGCAATACAAAAACAATGGTTTATTCTAAATAATAATTTCCACTGCCAAAATGGTATTCTATAGCATCAAATGCATAGTCTTATTTGGCATGAAATCTAATACTACCCTCAGATGACAAATGCCTTACCAAATTTTTGAAGACTAGGTAGGTAAGTGCCTTGCCTGTCAAGATTTGCCCAGAATGACAGTTGGCCCCCTTAGCAAATTACCTTCAGTTCTTCTACCTCATCTGTAAGTTGTTTTCTTAAGTAAGTAGAATATTGAACACCATTCTGTGACTTTCATCAACTCATCTCCCATACTGTGAGAAACCATGTGACAATCATGCTTCTCTCTGTACCTTCACTTGGTTTACCAATTTTTACCCTTCAAGAAATATAACCATTCTATTCCCTAGTTTTTCTCCTTCTGGCCATTCAGTTCACTTTCTTCCCGCTACTTAGAAAATATGCTTTCCAAGCATTTTCCAGTCTGATTTTTGGGATAAGTTTCCAGTTTCTATTTTCAGAATGGGGAAGAACTGTAATTACTTATTTTTTTAAAAAGAAAATATTTTGGAGCTCTGGTGGCCTAGTGGCAAGAAGCTGCACTGCAGTCCCAGAGGTGTGCAGTTAGAGTCCACCAGATGCTCTGCTGGGGAAGGAGGGACAATCTCCTCCTGTACCAGTCAGATCTGATTTGATGGTACACACACACACAAAGTAATGAAATAATTAAAAAAATATTTTGTAAATATCTGTTTTATGTTATGAGGTACAGAAAGCAATTATGCCATATTGCTTTCTGGACCTCTCCAGAGTATTGAAGAGCAACGATGTCAGTCTGGAGACTAAGGTGTGCCTGAATCAGGCCATAATTGTCACAATTACTTGCTATGCATCACAGAGTTGGACATAGACTAGGGATGATAAAAGGAGAATTGATGCCTTTGATCTGTAGTGCTGGAGAAGAGTATTGAATATACCATGGACTGCTAGGAGAACAAACAGGTTTGTCCTGGAGAGGGTGAAACCAGGCTGCTCCTTGGAGGCAAGGATTCTGAAGCTTCCTCTGACATATTTTGGGCATGTTGCCAGGTGGTACCAGTCCTTGTAGATGGACATCATGCTTGGGAGGGTGGAGGGACACTACAGGAGAGGAAGACCCTGGAGGAGATGAATTGACTCAGTGACTGGGGTAACATGGTAGGTGTGTCAGAGACGATGAGATTGGCTCAGGATAGAGCTGGGTTCAGAGCATAAGGTACATAAAGTCATTATGAGTCACAAGCCACTTGACGGCACATAACAACAACAACAATAACAACAACATGAGCTCTAGTGACAAGAAGCTGTGCTGTAATTCCAAAGACTCATGGTTCGAGGCCACCACGTGCTCCATGGGAGAAGGATGACCATTCGCCTCCCTTGCGATTAACTGCCTCAGTAAAGCTGCCACAGGGTCAGCTATCAGTTAGTTCTGACTCTATTGTACACACAACAACAATGAGAATAAGGGAGAAAAAGATTATCTTAATTCACCTAACAAATCTCTGAGAGAAAGGACCACAAGATATATATCTACTTGTTAAAGGAAAAGTATAAGCAAAGAGCATGGTCAGGGAGGCCTGAGGCGAAGAGGATAGTACTGAAAAGTTGCAGCAGAGGAGCAGAGGCAGAGATAGGATATATTCTTTTCAGTTTTGCCTGAGACAATTTATATATTTCTCTCTTCCTGATTTTTAATAATACAATCTTGAGTAGGTATTACAAGCAATGCTTCTGGGAATATAATTATCATAGTTAATTGTATACACATGTGAGCATATCTGTAGGATAAATATTTAGAAGTGGAATTGGTAGGTCAATATATGCATTTGTAATTTTGATGGATATAGCTGACTTGTTCATCAAACAGAGTGCATTATATATCTTAACACTTTCATCTCTGTCAATCTAAGAGATGAAAAATGTCTCCTAGTTTGAATTTGCTTTTTTCAGATATGTCTGCATGTCTTTTCACATTAAAGATAATTGTCTTTATGTTTCTGTGACATATTTATTCTTTTTATTGTTCATTCCTTTATTGATTTCTAGGAATTCTTTATGTAACAAGGAAATTAGCACCTTAATTGGGATATGAACTGTAAATATTCTCTCCAGTTTGTTATTTGTCATTTGACTTTAATTTTCATAATGCATAATGTTTGGAATTTTATGTGCTTATATTTTTAGATTTTTGACTTTTAAATTACGGTCTCTGAATTTGTGTCAATC